GAAGAGCGGAGTGCATGTCGTGAGCCTGGCCTTTGTCACGGCCTTCCAGAATTTAACGTGGATGTTGTGACACTTGATAAGTCTTCTGGATCCTCAGAGGGTGCAGGAACTACACTAGCTTTCCAGAGAAAATCTTCATGCCAGTGGGGAGCCTGGTTTTTTCCTCCTTGGGTTTGAGAGGAATTAGTAAATACTCATCATCTTCTGGTATCCAGGTTCTTATAACTTCAGCTGCAAAATGCATCCTAATCACTGTGCTTTAAGGCTCTGTGTTCCAGTGCTGGCTGGCCTGAGCCCTGGAGGACAGCTGTCTCTGTGGGCTCTTGCACTTGCTGTAGCTCTTGAGTGTAAAGTTTCCACAGCATCGCTTAAAGCTGAGTTTTAAGGTTCAGGCATGTCCTCTCTAATCACCTCTGCCATCCTCCAGCGCAGTCTTCGTATCTCTGGTGTGATGCTCAGTTCTGCAGTTCTTGGTTGACTCTGCACCTTGGGCTTTTCCCATGGTTTTTGCTTCACCCCCTCTGGAAGTGAGCTGCCCAGCCGTCTTGCTCCTCGCTTACAGAAACCAGAAGGCATTACCTTGGAAAAGCTCTGTATTGCCATCCCTTTCTGGTGTGCCACGCTCCTCCACGAAGTGCAGTTAGGCCGAAGGAACTTGGAGCTTTCTAGCCTTTGCTTATGTACCTGGTGATTTGTAAGCTGTGTCTGTGCTTCAGAACAGCTGAATGTCCTCAAAAGTACAGTTTTTCAAGCGAGGATTCTCTTTTCTTTGCCCCTGTGCACACTCTGTTAACTGCTCTGCTTGGCAAGGCTCTGTACTGAATCGGCCACATCAAATGCCTCGATCTCCTCTGGTGGTGTCTCCTTCGCAGGGCTGGCAGTAGTACTGCCTGTGTTATTCTTTGAGAAATGGAATCAGCAAAATCTGAGGAGCTGGTTGTCAGGGGATCCTCTGGGATAGCCCAAGTTGAATTAAGGAAAAGCTCAGCCTAGAGTTCCTGGTGCTGAACTGACGCCTGTCACTGGAACCTGTCCACGGGCTGTCTGGTCAATGAAGAACAGTGGCAATCAAGTGTTTGAGCAGTCAACAAGGCTTCGAGCTTGTTGACTTGTTCAGTGTGCGGTGGCTGGAGGCCAGCATTCTCGCAGTCTCACCGTGTGAAGCTCTGCATAGGAAGTGATGGTTAGTGTGCAGGAGAGAGAAGATCCCATTACTGTGACCGGCTGTTAAAGTCTTTCTGGTAGAGCTGGAGCGAGACCTGTCTCGTCAGTGTGCCAGGGGAGGTGGTTGTTTCTGCAGCGTAAGCCTCTTGGGCAAGGGATCTCTCACTTTCTCTCTGGTTTGTCAGCTTGCTCTGAACACAGGGTTGGTAGCTCAACAACAAAAGCTTTGGTAGTAAAAACAGCTTCAGATGTTCCCACACTGCTTTGCAGTTCGCTGCCTCCTCTCCTGTGCCAGAATCGGCATAGTGAGAGGCTGTGCGCATCCATCACCCTCCAGAAAGGGGTGAAAACTTCTGGATCCTGTTTTGCCGCTGAAGCCCACTGTGAATTGCACCGTCCGTAGTGATGGCCAGTGGGCAGTGAAACATCTCTTTTGGGGCAGACAGTGCTGGGTGGGCTCTGAGTGCAGAAGATGCTGGATGGTAGCTATCGTCCCATTCCAGAGGTGTTCATCCCAGCCTGGCAGTGCTGGCATTTCAGTGCCAGGCCTCGAGACAGTGGAAGAATTGTGACTCTTCTCTAGGTAGCCAGCGTGGAGGACTGGCTGGTGTCTCTCTGGTGGTGTTGGTAGCCCTGCGACACCTCTGGGGAAGCACATGAGGAACAGAGGAGTGAATCGGACTGGCTCTTGCTTACCAGGATGATGGCGAGCCAAGCAGCGTTTCTCACTGCAGAGCTGTCCTGCGGAGGCACAGGAGAGCTTTCAGCACCGTGTTGGGTTCTGCGTTGCCACTGTTAGATCATTGCTCGTTCTTCCAGGGTTTTCTGCAGAAAATAAGACTGTGCTGGGCTGAAAGCCAGCCTTGCCTAGGCCCTGGATTTAGTGAGCTAGCCTTTGCCAGGCTGCCTCACCCCACTGTACTCCTCTGACACCCAGTGTTTCCAGGCAGGTCAGTATGGATCCAATCAGACCTTGCCTGTCTGCGCTGCTTTCCCTTCCCTGTGCTCACCTTCTTGCTTTGGTCTTTCCTTTCCCTTTTTGTATCCCCACTGAATGGCTGCCAGCCCCTGCCAGCTCTGCCTCTTAGAGCTGCCACTTGTGATTCCTGAAAGGCGGACAGGCATGAATGACTGAGAGCCTAGCAGAGAGCAGTCATTTGTTACAGCAAGTTTTCTTTTTCCCCCCTTTCTTCAGATACAGCACAAAGAATTCCTCTCTGCAGTCGGAGACAGTGCATTACAAGAGAGGGGTAAGCCAGCAATTCTCCCTGCCTTCCTTCAAGATTGATTTCTCGGACTGGAAGGATGATGAGGTAAGTCTCTTCTCAGCGTCCCCTTCTTTCCACAACCCTGTTGTCCCAGAAGCACTGGACTCCATTTAGTGCCATGAAGTTACGGCTGGAAGACACCCTCTCCCAGCTGCCATGGCATGTTTTGTGGGTACGGGACGAATGGGGCCCTGGGAGGAGCAGGTATGAACACTGTACGGGAACTTGGCAGGTAGATCAGGCAAACAGGGAAGAAACCCAAAGAGGCGACTTTTGATATCGCTGATCAGCTGGCATCCCAACATCTGGTGTGGGAGGGAGACTGCAGAGATCGGCACTGGAGCTCTTCCTGCAGGAGCTCGCCGCTCCTCAGCCTTCCTCTCCCTGCCAGCCAAAGAGCCTGTGGGAACAAATGTCTGTCTTGATCTCTCTGTTTTGGTGTTTTTTTGGTTTTGGGTTTTTTTTTTTTTTGGCTGGTCCTCTAGAACAGTAGTCTCCAAAGTGGGGTACGTGCAAGACAATTCATTGGGGTGCGGGAAGAACTTCAGTAGTACATGTATATATCTTATAAATATACATATTGCGAGTACGTGCTCAAAATTTTTTACTGATGGGATGAATAGTCAAAATAGTTTGGAGACCACTGCTCTAGAAGAGTCCTGTTCTGTTTAAGGGCCGCATCCTGCATTACGAACTGTAGCAGTACAGTGTTGGGGGGGGATACTCTCCCTTCTGGGGCAGATTCACACTGGTGCATTAATGCTGAATAAGGGAAGGCCTTCCTCCTTTTAGTTTAACCCATAACTGCAAACAGACAAGGGCTTGGTTTTAATTAAGCTCTGTGGCTTTTACTACATAGCAAGGTCTGTGGAGTCCAATTAATTTTGGTATCTTTGCAAAATTCCAACCCAGGCAGTAACTCTGCTTCTTGAGCATCTGAGCTTTGGCCCAAGGGCTTCCCCTGCACGTGACGCAGGGCAGGGAGGCCTTGGTCTTTCCCCCGCTCTGTGCAGAATTGCCATAAGAAATTTCTGATGCAGAGGAGTCGGTCTGTAGCTACTGCTAATAGATTTGTTCCTGTGGACACCTCTCCCAGGTCAACAGTTTTTAGTCAAGAAAACCCAGTGTTCATTTCCTGACCCAAGCCTGTATAAGAGTATTGTGGTATTGTGTACGTGAACCTTGGTAGATAACTCTACCTATTTAAAAAAAAAAAAAGAAAAGAGATAACTCTACATATTTAAAAAAAAAAAAAAAAAAGAAAAAGAAAAAAGAAAAACAAAAAAAAGAAAAAAGGAAAGAAAGGAAAAAAGTTATCTTTCATGTATTTTGAAAAGATTGAATAGCTATTGTCTTGAAGTTACAGTTATAACTATAATCAGTCCCATGCCTTAACAAATGCCATGGTGGTTACCAAGAGCCTGCAGAGTCTGATCTCCTGATGTCTTGGCTTCTCTGCCAATCTATGATTTCACAAGTTCAGCCTACAAAAGCCTGGAAGAGCTGCTTTTCAATCCCTTCTGTCATCTGAGAGAGCTGGAAAGTAGGAGCTCAGACCCCTTTCTTCTTAAAGAATTGAGAAGCTTAATTTTCACTTTTGTTCCTGCCAGCAAGGTTTTAACTCGAGTACTAAAGTCATGTCCCTTTGACAGCTTAAAGGGAGAGACGCTGCGGAAAAGTAGGCTTCTAGCTCCCTTTGCTCGATTCTGCTGCATCCTCTGTCTCCGCTTTTTTCATTGGTGTCACTGGGAGCTCTGGTTGTGCAGAAAATGTGGAACAAGAATTGTGATTCAGAAGAGTTTCTTCTCCCATTTTGGCTCTGTGTCCATATCGGTCCTTGTCCTCTCAAGTCCTCTCAAAATGCATATGGCTAAATCTTCTTCTGAACTGGCCCCTGAAACGCAGCCCTTTCATCTGAGACAGCTGGCAGAGTGTTATCACTCAGCTGTGTACAATTGCATGCTTCAGATTGCTTTCCAGCTTTGTTATTGGTGTTGTCCAAAAAACCCAGATTTACTTCATGTTTTTGCTCAGTGTAATACTCGCATATGATGTAGTTCTTGGCTGGCCAACAGAAGGGAAAATAATGTTATGTTGGGTTGTTATGTGGAAAGCTTTATAAAAGTTTACTTTGTCTTCGTAATATACTGGTTTGCTTGCAAGTTATAGTGTATGGCTTGTGTTGAGACAGTTGTTTTCAGGTCCCTAAAAATGAACGTGAAACGGACCCTTAAAGAGGCCTTTTGTTTGAGAAGGCAGAAGTTTATATCGTAAAGCAACCTCAATTCTGTGATGTGACTTTCCCTTCAAATGGACAAACAGTAACTGTGGTGGTACAGTAATAAATCAGAGCAGGAAGCAAAGCAAAACCATAAGCTTCTTTCAGCAATTTTTATCAATTGTCCTCGACGAATTTTCCCTCAGTGGCATGCCATAAGGGTTCAAAAATGCAAGCTGGAAAATAGTGGCTCAATGAGTCTCTTCTATAACAAATAGTGAGAGGTTAAATGAGATTTTTGTGTTCGCTCTGTTACTCTGCTGTTTTGGAAAAAGAATAGATTCTGGTAGTTTAAAGGAGGAATAAAATGTAAAACCATCATACAGAGGATGAAAATCAATATCCCTCAGGTTTGAAGACTAGCTAGGTCAAATCATAAGGTCTTCCAGCGCATGCTTTCTGTTTGGAATCAAGCATGCACATTTGAACGGGGGTGGGTGGGTGTGTGCAAAGCTTTTTTACGCAGCTAAGAGTCGCTTCTAGAAAGCGCTGCAGAAGCTGGGTGGCCCCAAAGGCATGCAACCCGCACAAGGAGCATGCAACTGTGGACAGAAGAGTAGCAGAGTTGTGATTCCCTCTTCCCCCCGCAGCTCCTGTGGAAAGTTGGTGAGCTGTTGCAGTCCGAAGCATGCGCCTGCAGCTCTTGGCAGAGGCATAGCCCTGTGGCTATGGCACACTTGGCTGGGGGCTGCCGGGGTGTATCATCTCCTAGTGTACAGTTATTCGTTTCAGGATGAGCGCTTAGGTTGTAATTCATTCCTCTGCGTGTCCAGAGCAGGGCAACGAAGCTGGTGAAGGGTCTAGAGCACAAGTCTTATGAGGAGCGGCTGAGGGAGCTGGGGTTGTTTAGCCTGGAGAAGAGGAGGCTGAGGGGAGACCTTATTGCTCTCTACAACTGCCTCAAAGGAGGTTGTAGCGAGGTGGGGGTCGGTCTCTTCTCCCAAGTAACAAGCAAT